TGTTGACCCCATAGGTGATCTCAATGGAATCTGCAAACTCCCTCATTTCATTTTCCCTTTACTTCTACAATTTAGTGATTCAGTGATAACACAATAATATTCTCCTTATTATTACTTGATTATTTACTTTTTCACCAATTGTTTATAATCAACAATTACGGTAATTCTGTAATCAACTGGGCGTTTGTTCTTACATTGATGTTGCGTCTACGAATCATCTGAATACCAGATTTTGTTGCAAATGACGTCATTTGTGCCCGGCCGGTTCTAGTTCCACTACGAAAACCACAAATAAACAAAACAATTCGACAGGTTCAAGCTTGTTTTGTGGTTGGATGTAAACCAAGAGGCCACGGCCTTTCAGTTGTTGCCTGTTGCATTGTTGTTTGGGTGAGGCATTTGAAGGTCACCGGTCGACGCATCATATGATTCTCTCTAACCATACCTGTTTTACTCCACTTTTTCTCTTTCACCAGAGCTTTTGCTGGCAATCTCGAAGCTGCGTTTGCTTCAAGAGTTAAAACAACTTAACCCAATTTTATTTGTATTTGTTTCGCCATCTAACCATTCTTTTAGTCTGTTTCTATTTTTTCTTGGAGGTGCTGGGCTTGGGCTCTTGCGTGGGGTAAAAATCAGCGTCTTTTTATGGGTATTTTCAATAGGAACAGGAACTGTGACGTAACTTGTAAAAAATTCATCTACTGATCAACTCATGCCGAAAGCTAAGATATGTGGGGGTGAAGGGCGCTATCGTAGCCTACGGGGCATTCCCTAGGACTAAGCCTAGGAGAGGCAGAAACTTCAGGGAAAATGAAAATCGCTCACGCACTGGACAGGGTCAGTCCTATCGTTGTTACTTTTTCAAAAAATTTTACGACCCCCTCCCCCAAGGTGGGATTGATACGACCCCCCTTTTCGACACCTCGACCACCATCATCTCTATCTATAGTATTTAATTCTCGGTAATAACTTCGTATGTTTATGGAAACTCGCAACGTTTTCCCCCAAAAATTAAATTGAGTCGAGCGTGGGAGCCGGGGGGGTATATACGGCTGAAACGGCGACTTTCTCTTCCATGCGCTCCCAACTCACCCAGCCTACTACTCGTGAAAACTCCACTTTCACTACAACCTCACATGTACTTTCACGCGACTGAAGCGGATACGACCCCCCCCCCCTCTATAAACTCAACCAGGTACGACCCCGCCCGTTGTTACTAGTATAACGTTAGGGTTGACTTGCCCTGGGTCTCTCCTCCCCTGCCCAAAGCTTAGTACCGTTTTCAACAAAAAAAGATACCTTCCGCCTATCGTGAATGCATTGCTATCATAATGCCCCTTATCATGCGATAGCGCCCAAACAGAGCACGAGTGAAGAATAAGCCAGAACAGCCGCCACTAATTTGAATACTTACTTCGTTTGTCAATGTTTGAAGGTTTTTTTGGCTAGAGGTGGATGTTAACGGGAGAAGTTTTCAGGACTCTTCACCAGAATTTGAAAGTTGAGGACCCCCATCCTCACTCTTCCAGAGTATCATATCTTCCAGACTCATCAGAAAATAATATTAGGAAATTTAAAAAAATAAAAAAAATGATTGTGTGGAAAGCAAGCTTAGCGCTAGACGTTGGTGAAATGTTCAGCACCTGACTTAAATTGAAATAAAAACTAAACTGGCACTAAATGTAACACTGTTTATTATAATTTTAATTTATTTTTAATCTTGAGAATTCTAATACTTAGTTGTACTTGAGTTTTCCGTCCCACTTTCTGTTTTTTCAAGCTCAATAGTTTATTTTAATAATCTGTAAAATCTGTAAAATTTCGATAGTTAGTCTGTAAAACACTAAGCAGCACCACCTACCTATAGGCAGTTGTGTTCCGTTTTGATAGATGAAGGCGGTTTTTGTCTGGCTAGACAGGTGCTTGTTCGAGTTCGCGACCACACCAGTTCTATGTTGTACCATGTTGGGGTTACTTCTTTAAGGTGATGTTCGTAGACGGAATTGACGTAGATATAAGTAATTAAAAATCAGAATCATAACTTTTTTGTTGTTTGACCGTGCCGCATGATAAAAAACTCTCTGGAAAGGTGCTTTGGTTAATGATGTCATGGGAATGGATTTTTGCTCACTTACCATTGAGCCATTTACCCATTCTTGATGTTAAGTACTCGTCTGCTATATTTGCTTTAACGGCCATTCTTACTACAAAATTATCCCTCAGTCTCCTTAAAGCGTTTGCAGCTCGATGCTTGGATTGCGCCATGGGTTTTCGTCACTAGTCGTGCCGATCTAATTTCTCAGGCATGTTTGCAGTCTTAAAATAACTACAGCGCTGAGCAGGCGCCATTTAGGCTGTCTGTCATCTGCCACCTAAATAGACTTACAGGTTTCCGACTGCGGGAATCGATTGAGACGAGGGGGAGTTCATACGCAACGTCTCTTGGGGTTTTTATTTCAATCGAGGATTTTGAAGGTCCCACATATTTTTGAAAACCCCTTAGAAGTCAGCTTTGCCACAGGTGGTTTCAGAAAGTTGCAGCGAGCTTTTCGCACGGGGAGGGATGGAGAGGCAAAGGATTGTAACTTGAACGAAATATTCTCGTATGAGGGATCACAACCCACACAACACGGATATTGATCAACTCCAAAAAAGCGTTTTCCTTCATTTTTTCCCATATTTCTTCCCCTTCTACCGATTAACCAATTCTATGAGGGTTCATATCGAATGGAGTGTCATCGAAGTTTCAGCGAACACAAAATCTTCCGTTGTTTACCCCGTAGTCGAGGGCTAGTTCCGAGAAAATAATCTCCGTGAGAATAACAGTCATGTTCCCCACACCAATATAGAGGGTTTTGTGGGCGAAAAGGCCTTTTTCTGACTTTCGTCTGTTCTTCTTCACTATGTTGTTGTAGTTTGTTATCATTGCATTCATCAGTCAACGGCCGTGTTGCCTACAATACATTTTGTAGTGTGGCCTTATCTCTGCTCTACAAGGCTCTTACTCCTGTTTTCCGAAGGTAAAGCGCTATTTGTGACGCTTGGCTCCAACATTCCTTTTGCTACGTGCACAGTGATTCTACTTTAACACAGCCAAAACGGGAGTTCAGCGAGTTCATCGGGGCTGCTGCATTGCTAGGGATTTGAATGAAGGCACGAGGAAGCGGCAGCATTGGGGAAATTTTTAGAGATGTGGTGTTCAGAAAGGTGAGAATAAACGTCATTCTGTTCCACTGCAACGGGAAGTCTTCGGCGTCAGGAGCGCTGCTTTTTCGAAATGGTATTCTGCCTGTTGTATGGACTCATGCGACGAACACAGAACCTTGATCAATTTTTCCGAACGCCTCCAGTAATGTTAAAACAGGGATGAAGAAATGGTCCAGAGTTCGGTCCCCGGTGATGACTAAGTTTTGCAACATAGTGGTTAGGCAGTCAGCAGTTTGGAGGGGCCAGCATAATTTAGCTCCGAAGTTAAGACACCGTTCTGTGATTTCCACATGAGCCTCCACAGTATCAGGAATAGCCTGAAGTATTAGTGAAAAAGGCTGCCAATGTCCTAAAAGATCCCTCTGTGGGTGCTGGCTCTAGATATAGACTCAACAACCACATTAGAAAGGGCTTAACTATTTTGCCGGGAGTGTGTGTCCTCAAAGGCGAATCCCGTGAATGATTTGTGGTGTGAAGTTCTGACACAAAACGCGAAACTGCTTTACTGGGTGGTTCATCTGCGAGAAAAGAAGCGTAAAGCCCGTAGAAAACTCATGAAATAAGGCGCGTGTTCTGGCTGATGATTTTGGAGTTTGTGGAAGTGAATACCCGAAACTGTGGCATCTTTGGTCCTGTGAATGAATGGAAGGGCGACTTCTTCGAATGTGTTGCAAATTTTTTGTACGGTCGTTTAACTGTTTCTAACTTCACCATTGCAAGTGTGACATTAAGTACAGTTTGTTTTGGATGAATGTGCCAGTGGAGGCGTCAAAACTTGCCCGCAGGGGCCAAACTCGTGTGGAACATGGATGGGCTTTTTTCAAGAAGAGAAATAATTGTTATCGAGCCATCATCACCTTGATTGCCAGAGATATGCGCTGCTATCAGTTTTTCACCGTTTAGCGCTGTGGACGCACAAAATTTACAGTGCTTAGAACTGGACCTTATGCCGGTCCTCTTTACCACTTTTTCAATTGCTTCATCTCTTTTAAATACAATAAAAAAGAAAACTGGACTTGTTCCAGTCCATTTAAGGTCTTCTTATTGTTCAGCTTGCGGTACTCATTAGCCGCCGTCCTGTTTGGCGATTCTTATCACAATTCGTTTGCCTCTTATCAACTTGCGTCGTTGTCGTTTTACGCATGCCTTGCTTATTGCTGGCAAGGCCATTGGCCAGCATTTATCGTTCCAAGACGTTCCAACAGCTTCCTTTGCTCTATTTTATTGCATTTTAACGATGTTTAGTTTACTTTTCGCCATATGGTTTTTTTTTGAAGAAAAATTCAATTTCAGGATCACTCGGCTAGTGGAGACTGGTCTGAATCTGGGCCAGACATGAGTTATTCAGAGGTAATTCTTTGACATTTATCTGACTGGCATAGTCACTAAAATACAGTGCCTGTAGGTTTGCAGACGGCTTGAAGCTCTCTATGAGAACTTCTCTATGCCCGATATAGTATAATTAGGCTGTACCAGCGACTACTTCTAGGCTTAGCTTCTGCGCGATTTCGGACCCAGGAGCCCGTTCTTGTTTGGCTAAGGAATTGAGTAGTTGTACAATTGTTATCGCAGCTGACCTTTCGTATTCTGTAGTCCCAGGCTAGACTCTAGCCAAGTGAATTCAGCCTTTCTGTTCAGAGACGCCCGAGCACAGTGTAAGAACAATTTTCCTGCTAGCAAAGCCGAAGTCAAGCCTTTCACTGTCAGTCAGACGCCGAGCACAGATAGTAAGGAGGAGTTTTGCTTATGAATACCTTAGAGCAAGGAGGGCCTTGTGGGTGAGGTTATTTGTTATGGATTATGGTCGGTACAGACTAAAAAAGGGTGAAGTTTGCACTGCTCAGGGAGAGGAAATATTAAAACCAGGAGAAACTTTTCAGAAATGGTGGCCAGGTCAGGTAGGGCCTATTGCGACACTGATCGAAAGCATGTGCACTATCGCAATTATTAGGGGCATCCTTCTAGGAGCCTCTTATATTGCGAGGAGTGCGATAGGCTAAGCCAGGGAGGGAGCACGAACTTTGTGGAAAACGAAAGTGACTCACACTCTCTGGAGTCGCTCCTCCCACTCCTAATACTTACCTTATGGTTAGTCTCACTTTCTAGGAAAGAAAAAAAAGAAACGTTTTACGCAAGTTCTAGGTATGATTTCACCACAATTGGCCCGCATCTCCTGGGATAACGATCCAAAAATCATGCTAGGAGCGCGGAGCGGTAGAGGACGGTTACGGCCAATCTCGGATAAAAAATCCCAGTTCAGGAATCCGATCAAGCCCAAGGAACTCGATATGGACGACATTGGCCACCTCCCTTTGTGTTAAGTCAACTGTCTGTTGATTGCTATGCGCTTGAGTTTCGGAAGGTCGTAAAGGATCTAAGCCTTTTGAACACCGGTGAACATAACGTGAAGGTGCTATGGGCATCCTCAGTTATACACTTTATACGATGAGAATACCATAAAGATCAAATATTAAAATAAGCCAGCATCATATGATTAATATTTGTCTTTTCAGATTGTATCGCGACAACGAGCATTTTTTCGGTCCGGTGAGCCAGTGAAATTGGAACATCGGAAAGAGCAGTTACGCACTTTACGGAATTTTATCACGGAAAACAGAGACGCGTTGTGTGATGCTGTCCATCAGGATCTCAAAAGGGTAAGCTTTGTTCAAGCTCCGAAGAATTTCTATTTCCCCCACAAGATCTGATGGTGGGGACTCACTTGAGTGGAACCTTCATTTCAGAGGGTTTGGTTGCGCACGTCCACAGTAGTTCACCGGTGTCGTTTCCACCTCCAAAAATGCCTCAAAATGGAAAACTAAGGGAATAGGAAGTTAGTCTTACTTCATTGGCCACGTCTACTCACAATTCACGCTCATCAACCGGTGCAATGGACTGGCTCTTTCTATGGGTTTATTTTCGGTCTGTTGCCATCACGTGGCGATGACGATTTTTCGGGACCCATCTTCTACCGTGAGCTTTCTGCTCTTGACCTTACGGGCACCAACAGGGGTCTTAGGTGGCCCGTTTTGGTTACTACCCTTTTTTTGCAAAATAGTTCCTCTGATTCCAACTTACCTCTTTGCATACGCACATATCTTACAATTGCGCTCTTTCTTGGGTAGTACTTTTTGGGAGAGACAAAAAAATCGACGGGGCTTTTTTGTCATCTCCGATGAGGAAGCAGGAATGCGTCCCTTACAGATGCAATCAGTTATTCCCGTGATAGTTCCCAAACATTTCACCTGGACCCACTTTCACACCGGGCCTCTCAAACCGAGCTTTACTAAAGATTTACACCACTTGGTTGAGAGCTCAGACTTCTAGTTCAGTTCCGCTGGTCGAACTTTCATATTCGACTTATTGTTATTACTTCTTTCCCTCTGGTAATCTTCTCTATGAATGTATTTACTATTTATATTTTGAAAAGGGGTTTTCTTGAAATTATTTGGAAAGGAATTTTCTGATAAAAATTGGTTACATTACTCAAAAGCTTCCAAAAGCAAGTATTTCATGTATTTCCTAGGTAAGCACTTGAGGATAATTTTTCTGAACATGAATAGATCATTTCAGTTCCCACAGACCACGTACATCGTTGAAATTGCCAATGCTATCCAAGAAATCGACTACATGCTTGCAAATCTCTCAGAATGGACCAAACCGACGATGGTTTGTTTATTGGCTTCTAATAGTTGATTTCTTCTACTGGCAGTTTTTCTCAAAATTCCAAATAATATTGTGTCTGCAGGTCTCTAGTGTTTTTTTTCAATGATAAATTGCATTCCATCCGGTTTCGGAATCGATGATGGAGAAAATTGATAGCTAGATCCGGTATCCCAAAACTCCTTGTAACTGTGAAACTTCTTTCCCAGTAGTGGTACAGCAGCCTATAAGAGCGACTGCTTGGATCGTAGCATGTCTTTGGCAAAGGCTTGGCGCGCTGACCGATAAAACACAGCGCTTAGTACAGCCTCATATCTGACCGTGTCGCTACAAGGCGGTCTCTCGGCAGGGTGCAACCCTACGTGCTCAAGTAGCTGGGTCCGATTGATATTTGTAGAGGGGTCGTATATTTTGATGGTGTAGAGGGGGGGTCACTGGATAATATAGCAGGGGGTAAATTGTGAAATTTACGAATTTTGGTCTTTTACTGTTTCAGAGTGACTATATACCCCCGCTCGACGGCATTTTTGGAGGAAAAAGTGGGCGGAGTTTGTGGGTCGAGTGATACCAGAATTAAATACTATAGCGAGGAATATGGTGGTCGAGGGTCGAGAAGGGGGTCGTACCAAATCCACCTTTGGGGAGGGGGTCGTAAAAAATTTTTCGAAAAGTAGCAACGATAGGACCGACCCTGCTCCCACGGCCTTGTCCTTCTCCCGTCGCACTTGATAGCGGTCGTGTGAATTAGCTGTTTCCAGCATGTTCTCCCAAGTTCCAGGGAGATGTATTGGCACAGCTTATCAACGCTTCTTCTATCAAGTGCGGCTGCTGCAAGTCAATTCGGAAAAGCAAGCTATTAAAGGAATCTTCCGCGGAAAAAGCTCCGCCTCCATTACCACAGAAAAACGATACCCCTTAGGCCCCTAGCCTCATGAGCATAGCAAAAAGAACGGAACATAAGCGTTAGTTTCGATAATACTAATCCTACACACAAGACAAAATGATCACTCTTTCCGTGGAAGATTCCTTCAAGGTCCGCTTTCTCTCCTCCGGTAATGTGGGCGGAGGCTTCTTCCCGTGAGGATCCCTTACCACGTGTACGACATAGGCCGCGCGATTCCGCTAAAGATCGGCTCACAAAACGTCCGACACCCCCCTGCCTTCCTTGGCTTCGACGAACCTCTTTCACCAATCGCCGGTCAACAGTAGAGTCGTGCCATCTTCCCAAAAGGCCTGCCCGGCTAGGGAATTACCAGGCGCGGCCGGCCAAAAACATCAAGGTTAATGGGCGAGAAAATTGACTCGCAGGGCCGAAATGGAGATGTAGACGCAGACATTTTCATGTCACGTCACCTGCAAATCGCTTGTGTGCCTCTTCGACTCAAACAACAAACCTATACAAATTCATTGTTAACAATAGAACGAAAACACATGAACAAAATAAGTGATTTTCTTCTTTGTTGTTTTATTGCTTAGGAAGTCTGCTATTCATTTCTGCACCATTTTACCTACAAAGAGAGTTTAAGTGATGTTACGATCATGTGTTTTTTGGCTTAATTTCAAAATGATGCTTACATTCCCCCCAGTTCCAATGCCTTTCAAGCGGGCAAACCTTCCGAGCAGCTTGAATGTGGCATTGATTCTCACGGCTGGACCTCTACACAGTCATAGCGCGGTATCCATCAAACAAAGCCGAAGACAAGTCTCTTCACGTTCCATCTGCAACAAGAGCATTTTTCGACAATAATTTTTTTTGAATTTTATGTTCGCCACACAGAAATAGCCGCTCGATGCTTACCGATTCCCATACCTATCCGCCCTGCCCATTTTCACGTCCAACTAGGCACTCGCGCCTCTTCGCATGATTGCTTGTCGTCGTAGGGGACGTGAATTGCATTTTAGACAAAACGATAATGCGTATTTTATGAGAAGTGAATACTGCTGAGAAATTTAGTCAACTTCCGAAGTTGTGTTTTGTCGCTTAACTGCTACTACCGCCCTCCTCTTCTCGGGCGTTGGGCATTTTGGAGGAAGGTGTGTCAAGAAAGACCAGGTTCAAATTACACTAAGAAGGGCTACGACGACGGCGGTCAACGGTAACCACTTCAGGACAGGGTCGAGTTTGAAATTGTCCAATGGGCAATGGCCCAACCTGAGGGAGAAGCTGAGGGTGGGGATCACGAATTTCCTATTTTTTCATGAGTTTCGCCAATCTCACCTGGGATTGCAGACGAGAAGGAGTACTGAAGCACTGAACACTATAAAGGACATGGCGAATATATTGGATATCATGTGCTGTCCTATTTCCCCGTGACCACTGCATCTATAAAATAAGCAATGACCAAAGAATATGTATTGATTGATCGCGCTCACATGCTCTTCCACGACGCCTGCTGTGATGTTCCGAAGCAAGCTGTGAGAATCGTTGCGCCAAATACAATCACACCCATCAGCTGATGGAATGGCATTACCGCCCTCCGGGTCTCGGTGTCAGGGTGTATGTAGATGATGATTCCGCCGAGGTACTGAAATACTGATTTTCTCATGTGCCAGTCGCCAAAAGGACCAGCGGCGGTACTGATTCATACCTGTACGATGTACAAAGTGATTGTGCCAAGTCCTAGCCAGGTATGGAAGGAATAGTAGCGCAGAAATGGTTGTGGTCCGTGAAATACTGCAATGAAGGGTCGGCTGAGCTTGGCCAAGGCTCAGGACAGAATTACCTACGATTAGGCCCTAACCCTAACCTAGACCCTGAGATTTACCGTGTGATCTTGTGATAGATGTGGTTGCTTCATCGATTGATACATATGTTGTCCATACTATGAAAGCGGCCAAACACATCACAAATATAGCACAACTGTGAACGATGGCATGCACCACCGTTGCTATCCACTTTTTCCGAGCTCGTAGTACTCGGAATATCAGCAGTGCGTTTCCCAAGGAGATAAATCTGAAGCCAATATATTTAAAGTTTTGGTCAATTTTCTCGAAAGAGCTACTAGGGCGTGCGAGTGCAGCCGCGTGCGGCCGCGTCGCGGTCACTCGTACTTTCCTGATGGTACTGTGAAGGATTTTTAAAAAGTCTCTTGCATCTCAAATTGTAACGCTTACAGCAAATGCCATCAAAACGGGATGGAATCGAAAATGAAGTCCTGTCCAGATACCATTATTGTCATACAATTCCATCCAAATAGTAGCTAGAATTATCATTAGAGCACCTGAATCGCTAGATTTCGGTATGGACTCCTGTGATGAGAAATGTGCTTTACCTGATATCTGGGAGATGCCGAACAACACTTTGAACAACAATGTGGACAGATCGTCCGGTAGCACGACCATTGAAGTATCGAAAAATTGGCTCATTTCTTGGAGGGTCCACCCGAAGGCTCAGTCCTAAAGTTACGCGTAATCTGGAAGATAGTGAACACGTCGCCCTAGCGGTTTCGTCGTAATTGGTGGACCAGGACCCTCAGTGAGCTGGTTTTGTGAAGGGGCGTGATTGGAACCACCTCTTGACACCTTTCCACCAATCACACTCAATGTGTCACCAGAATCGCTCCGCCCTCAAGCCATCATGTTCAATGCGTTTAATCCATGATCCACAAAATCAACATCCAGCAAACTGCTCCTGGTAAAATCTTGTTGTACCGCTGAAAAAATCGTGGCGCTATCGAAGTGTACGGGGGGCATCCACTTGGGCTAATCGTAAGCCCAGGGGAAGGAAGTTCTTGAAGAATGAAAATGACTGACGTACCTTGGAGTACCTCCAGCCCGCCTAGGGCTCAGTCTTGTTTTTATTAAGAGGACATACGCGGCTCCAAATGCATTGCCACCACGATGCCCCCATATCCTGCGATAGCGCCAAAATCACCCACTTTCAATCATTCTTGGTGTGATGACATGACCAGGGTTCAGACTTTGCGCCAAATTGTAGTTGCAGAGTAGTAGAAACAGTACGAGAATGGATTTCAGGTAAAGATGAAGGAATACAACGCTTGTACCGCTTGCACGTTCGCGTTGAAAGAAGAAAAGAACTTCATAAAAGAGTTTAGTCACCATACGCAAAACTCATTTGGTAGAATAATTAGTGCACAGCAAATTTGATTGATTTCATTTGTTCTCAATTTTATCGAGTTTTTGCCGATTCTTCAAACGCAGCCTCCGCAACCTGCGTGGGATCTTCAACTTCAGCTCTGCTTCAGCTTCGAACGGGCTTCCAATGGTCCCACTACGAGCTAATCAATCTTACCTTTTCGGGGAAAATGCAGGAATCTACGATACGCCTACAGTAATATTAAGCTTACCTTGCAAGCTCGACTATGTCAACATGAGATAACTAAACCTTACTCTGAAATTATCGCTCGTTATATGGAGATAAGATAGGGGGTTTTTCATGGGCCGTATTCAGCTCTTCTCATATATCAGGGAAGGTTGTTAAAGGATGTGGTAACCAAAGAGATACTGACGTGAATCATATATCCCGGTGTGCAGGACCTTTGACCCATACTTTACGGTGATTCGTGCGGTGTCTTCAAGCACCGTGATTGGTCCTCGTTTTTGAGCACCAATAACAAAGCTCGATAGTTGTGTTATCCAAATATGTCGACTATTACTTTGAAATTTTCAGGCACAGAAGACAGTTGCAACAGCATTGGATCAGCCGATGATTGTAAAGGAACCGCTCGGCGTTGTACTGATCGTTTCAACGTGGAACTATCCCGTGTCGATGATTCTGCTGCCACTTATCCCTGCGATAGCTGCCGGTAAGTGGCATAGTGGGCATCCTTGAATCTCGAACCCATTTATTCTAGCCTAATTTTGGCCCTAGTTAACTGTTCATGCTTTCAGGTAACACGGTGATCATCAAGCCTTCAGAAGTCTCGTGCAATACTGCTGCCATATTCGAGAAGCTTATTCCAAAGTATTTCGAACCGGTTAGTATATGTTTGTTCCCTACTACTTGCATTCACTGAAGAAGCTTTTGGTTTGGTTTCACGCTCTCATCAATTTTTGGCTTTTTTATCTTCTCTTCCTTTTTTCTTCCCTTTTATTCTTTTTACTCCGTCTCTCTTGGGTCAGTTAACCTTTTATAAAATCATAGGTTCTATCCATTTTTCACTCACTTTTACCTGTGCTCTGGATGTCGCTCACTTCCATGCACCCGCTTTGGTCGATTATGAGCCAAAATGATTTTTCGCAACCAAGCGTGTGTCGATAGGTCACAACGCGATGACGCGGACATTAGCGGCGTGTCGCGTGCGGCGGCGGTGCCATTTCACACGCCTGGCCCGCAGTCCTTTATTGAGCCCACCAATGTTGAACATAATAGTTTCAATCAATACAACAGCTAGCACGGTATAAGGAGCTTCTTGTCACCTTCACTTCTACAGACGTTTCACACTACCCTCCATACTTCACGATTCAAGTTCAGTTCGCCTGCTGTAGCTTGATTATACGCACAATACGCACAAACGTCTATTAGGCGCTATCGCAACATACGGGGGCATTCTCTAGGACTAGGCCTAGGAGGGGCAGAGCTCCGGGGAGAACGAAAATGGCTCACGCACCTTGGAGTCTCTCCTCCCCGCCTAAGGCTTAGTCCCGTTTTCAAAAAAAGACATGTTTTACGCGGTTTCAAATGCATTGCCACCACAATGCCCCCA